GGCGGGCGTGGGAGACGGCGAAATGCGGAGGAGACCTTGTGGGAAGAGGAAGGACTTGCTCCAAGCGCCATTTTCTTCTGCTCGATGCGTTCCTTCCTCCCCAAAGAACAGGCATTCCCCCCTCTCCCACTGCCCCCAGCCTCTTCCGACGGGGGTCCGCACTACCCTTCTCACAGAGCGCACCCGCCTTAGAGACAGGGGTGGGGGCCCGAACGAGGCCACGGGGAGCTACGGGCCCCGCACGCGCCCCGGCTGCCGCATTGTCCCGGGGGCGCCCCAGACCCCAGCCGCGCCCCGCCGCCCCACACCGCCGCGACCGCCTCCTCCGACTCGTTCCCAGGGGCGGGCGTCAGCCGCGGAGGGGCCCGCAGCGCGTCAGGCACGGGGTCTGCAACAGAGGAAAGGGTGTGGGGAGGCCGGTGCGGGGAAGGGGAGGCCGGGCAGATCCGCCATTTCCCCAGACGCCGGCGAGGGCCGCGAGCTGCTCACGGGCAGGCGGGGAAGGTGGGGTCGGCCGGGTGCGGGGCTCGGGGAATGTGTTGTGGGGGAGGGACCCGCGCACTCACGCTCCGCTCTTGCAGCCGAACAGCCCCCTGCTCGCTCGCTCGCGACTGACAGAGAACCGGAAGTGACGACAAGCCAGAGACGCAGGCCCCGCCCCGCTGGGACCGCGGACACGTGACGGGGCGTGGCCTCTCCTTCGAAACTGACACCGAGACCCTTTCCAGGGCCTTAAAGGGACCGCCCGTGGTCCTGAATAGATGCCACGAAAGTGAGATGCCACAAAGTTTGCGTCTGCTTGTGAGTGAATGAGGGAGCAAGTGAAACATAAATGACAAGTATTGAGCTTTTCACTTGTTCAATAAAAGTTTGTTCCATTGAGTTGAATAGCCAGACTGAAAGAAATGAACCTTTCTGGCCCATTTTCCCAGAATTGATTCCCCAGAGTCATTTCTACCTGGTAAAATCCGAAGGAAGGAAGTCAAAGTCACTGCATTTAATTCCGGAAAATGCAAGAAATCTCTGTAGAAGTCCTTGGCCATAAACACCTTTATCTCCAGGCTGAAGTACTGGAGGTGTAAGGTAGGTCATGGAATGCTAGAGAAATCCATACTACAAAATGGAGTATAACTAATAGATTATTTGATGAATGCCTACTATAGCCAAAAATAAAAATAAAGTTATTTTTCTTCAACAAGCATTTATCAAGCACCCACTATGTACCAGGCATTGCATGAGGCACCTTAACATATCTTACTTATCTTAACAAACAAACACCCTCCAAAGGAGGAATGATTATTCTCTCCATTTTATAAACGAAGAAACCAACAGTCAACAAGGTTAGATGAGCTGCCCAAGGTTTTACAGAGAGCAAGTCATGATTCAAACCCTGCACTGTCTGATTCACATGCTACATACTGAAGGGAATGCAAAAGCTCTAATCCACTCTTGCTTTATGTAGCTTCAGTCTAAATGACCACTTTTGAAAATAAAAACACTGTGTAATTACTTTTACATAAAGTTCCAAAAGCAAGAAAAGATAATCTATGGGGATAGAGGTCAGATTACCCTGGGGGGTTATCACCTAGGAGGGGGCATGAGGGAACCTGCTGGGGTGATGAAAATATCTTCACGTGGTTACACAGGTGTACACTTAAATGAAATTTCACTTAAGATTTGTGAGCTTTTACAGTAGTCAAAACAGCCTGGTACTGGTACAACGACAGATACATTGACCAATGGAACAGAATTGAGAACCCAGATGTAAATCCATCCACCTAC